ACTCCAGGATCATGACCTGAGCCGAAGGCAGTTGCTTAACCAATTGAGCCACCCAGGCGCCCTCATTTTCATTTTCAATCACATAATGTTTTAGCTCAGTATAGAATTTTAACTGATAATTATTCTTGGTCAACATGTTGGCAATATTCACTGTATTTTAGTTTACATTGTTACTTTTGAAATAACTGATTTTGACTAATTGTTTCTTTGGACGTCATATATTTTTTCTCTCTTCTTGTTTTCAAGACTTTTTCTATTTTTTATGTTCTGTAGTTCACTGCCATATAGGTATGATTCTATTTTGCTCAAGACTCATTGTACTTCTTATATCTGGGTTCATCTTTGGCAAGAGAGCTAACGAGGTTCATGTACTTTATTCTCTCAAGTTAAAACTTGAGAATAAACTTAATTTAAATTTGGTGGCAATCTTTGCCAAATGGGACTGAAGTTTCCAGAGACAAGGAACAGAGTTGAAATCCAGTTTTGAGCATATGGACTGGGCTAACACTGTTTCTCCTCCCACTACTAACACATGGGCCTGATGGATAAAATATGAGAACAGAAACACAACTAAATAGTATCTCTAAAAAAAGAAATGGAAGTCCTTGGATGCTTGAAACAAAGAGGTAATTTGAAATCAGAGAAACATGTTTGTAGCATGGCATCATGATAACCTGGGCCTATGTAAGGTATACATTAGGACTGAGACTCTTGTATCAAGCCAGAGCCCTATAAAGGCTGCTGTGGCAAATTATATTTTCCAAAGATGGCCAAAAGGATATTTTCAGTCCACATATTCTTATAGATACTCGTCCCACCATCAAAAGATGGAGTCTAATTCCTCTTCTCTTGAATCTCTTATGTCTCACTTATAACCAACAGAATGCAGAAGTGATGTTGCATGACTTCTGGGTCTAGATTACAAAAGATGATGCATCTTTCACTTTGCTTGTTGGAACACTCATGCTGGAGGCCTGCGCTGCCACGTAAGCTGTCCCCTGCCCTCAGGCGATCATGCTATCAGGAAGCTCCATGTGGAAGACCTCATGGAGAAGCCCTGAAACTATACATAGGGAGAGATGCCTGGCCAGCTCCCATCTGCTCCTGCTGAGGCCATACCCCAAACTCACTTCTAGCTCCAGTCACTGTATGACTATAACCACTTGAGATCTTGAGCCAGAACTGCCCAACGGAACCAGTATCAAATTTCTGACCCACAGAGACCATGAAATAATAAAATGACTTTATTTTATATTTATTTATATCATTTTAAACCACTTAAGTTTTATAACAATTTGTTATACCGCAATAGCACCTGGCACCACTATTCTTTCAGTAAAAAATGGACTAAAAGCATCCTTTCCACTGACTAATTGGAAATAGTTTCTTTGGAGAAATGAAAAGTCATGAGGGCTCTCTCCTGAGATTGTGAGCTATGAAGACCATTTAAATATGGATTGTTGATTTCTTTTCATCACATGGCAATTGTCTTTCAGAAAATAAAGCTAACATGGACTCAAGTAGAGCCAAGACATGGAGGGAAAGAGTCCCAAACACAATATTTGAGTACCTGGATCCAACTATGCCTGAATTTGTAATTACATGAGTCCATATATTTTGGTTTTTGCTTTAGTTTGTCTGAGTTGAATTTTTGTTACTTCTAACTAATAGGATCCTGACAATTATAACTCTACTATTCCAGACCAGTTCATACCAAAGAGATAAGAAGTGGAAACAAGCTGGCCTATGAGGTAGACTATTATACCAGTGGCTTAAATGAACCACCTCCCGGATTCATGCTCTCCATTGGCCCCTCCCACATCGAGTCTGGGTTTAACCATATGAGTACCTGATAAGTGTTTGCATTTGGGGCTGATCTTCTTGGAAGACTTTCTTCTAGAACCCAGCTGCTGCACGGAAGTCGAGGATACTCTGCTGCACGGAGAGGCCATGTGTAGAATTCCTAGAAGATGAGATAGAGATATCCCATGTGGAAGAACACTGAGGTACCCCAGCCCAGCTCCTCACTGAATGTAGCCACATGAGTGATACAGCCAATACCATGTGGAGCAGAAAAACTGCCCAGCTGAACGCATCAACCTGTAGAAACATAAGAAATGATAAATTGTTACTGTTTTAACCAACTAAGTTTTGGGGTAACTTGTTAGGCAGCAAAAGGTAACTGAAATAGCCAAGGATCAGAACACCAGTCAGGGGCGCCTGGGTGGCTCAGTTGGTTAAGCGACTGCCTTCGGCTCAGGTCATGATCTTGGAGTCCCGGGATCGAGTCCCGGGATCGAGTCCCACATCGGGCTCCCTGCTCAGCAGGGAGTCTGCTTCTCCCTCTGACCCTCTTCCCTCTCGTGCTTTCTATCTCTCATTCTTTCTCTCTCAAATAAATTAATAAAATCTTTAAAAAAAAAAACACACCTAGTCAGTAGGTCTTAAATAGTTGCTCAAGACAGAGTGCCAGTGATATTCATTCATTCATTCATTCATTCTTTCTTTCAATGCAGCATTTAATGAATGTCTACTATGTACTGATCAATAAAAAATGTAAAAAGCCCAGGAAAAAACTACAAATGTCAAGAAAATGTGCACAATCACTAGTAAATAAAGGATTTTACCTTAGAATTTGATGTTTATCTTTTTCAGAAGATTTAAAATGGTTTTGGCCTGTGAGGGAAATAACTTCTGACTATTCAATACTGACAACCAAATTTTCCATCATAGAAAGGGAGCTAGGGGCTATGTTTTAAGGCCTCGTTCTCCCAAGGTATATTCTAATTACCTATATTTATGGATAGATGAATTATTTTAAGGTTTAATGGAAACATACTTTCATTGCAGTGAGAAACTAGTCATTATTTTCTGCCTTGAAATTTATTCCTTCATTGAGGGCATCTGACTACCTGGATTCCACTTTTAGTTCCATCACCTGGAGGTTTATGACCTTGGGGGAAGTATTAACCATTCTAAGCTATGATTTCTCCATTTATTAAAAGGCATAATAGTATATACCTTACATTGTAAGCCCTAAACAAAATATTATTATTATTATTACTTAAAGATTTTATTTACTTATTTGACAGAGGGAGTCACAGTGAGAGAGGGAACACAAGCAGGGGGAGTGGGAGAGGGACAAGCAGTCCTCCCACGGAGCAGAGAGTCTGATGTGGGCTCTACCCCAGAACCCTGGGATCATGACCTAAGTCGAAGGCAGGCGCTTAGCGACTGAGCCACCCAGGTGCCCCAGAACATCTATTTGCTTTCCTTTATTTGAAAGAAAATAGCGGTCATCTTTGCTTCCTAAGAGGCAAAAACCAGTATGCCTTCTTAGTATTAACTAAGAAGTTTTCTTTCCTTTTCACTCCATGTTTTGGGAAATTAAAGATTTTAGTAAAATGTTAACCTTGAGAAAATGTATTAATGTATTTTTTTTTAAAGATTTTATTTATTTGACAGAGAGAGAGAGAGAGAGAGAGAGAGAGCACAAGCAGGGGGAGTGGCAGGCAGAGGGAGAAGCAGGCTCCCAACTGAGCAAGGAGCCCAATGTGGGGCTCGATCCCAGGACCCTGGGATTGTGACCTGAGCCGAAGGCAGTTGCTTAACCAACTAAGCCACCCAGGTGCCCCAGAAAATGTATTAATGTATTAAATGATTTTTATACCCATAAGCATCACCTTCTTATACGATACCTGAAGGAGTTGGTGAAATATCTGAACATGCTTAGTTTTATAAGGTGATGGGGAAGCAGGGAGAAAGAACTGAGCTCATCTTTTCCATTTTGGAATAACACATAAAGGTGTAATTGACAAAGGAGAGAGCTCTGCTTTCAAGGGATTCAGGTTTGAGGAGTGGACAGTAAATGCTAGCCAAGTTGGGAAACTTTGGGAAGTTGTAATTTGCCGAAAGTAGAAAGCCTCTATGTACTGAGAACATGGAAACTGTGGCCCCAGCTTGGGTTTGGATTTTGCCACAGCTCTCCTGATCTGGTCAATTCATATCCTCATGTTTGAGGACTTGAGGATATGGTATGTATTGTCCTGTGATACCCTGTGCATTTGAATTATACTCTTACTCTTTAGAATGACAATGATAATTCTAATTACAGAATTGCATAAAGTAGTTCAAAGTAGGTATAAGCTGGCAAAATATTTGACGGACTCTTTAGCCTCATATTCTTCCTCTTCTGCTGAAATACTGAAAACTTGGCACAGGTCAGATATTTGTGGGAGGCCCTAGAGCTTTGATTTCTGCAGGGTCTCTACTTGAAGACAGGTAATTGATGAACACACACACACACACACACACACATTATGGCTCTGATGACTTAATTCCTTCTTTACAACTCTTCAGTTCCATTCATAGGAGCACTGACAAAAAGTCTAGCTCTTAACAGAGCATAAAGCCAGGGGGATTGACTGAGAGGGTTCTGTGAACTATCCTAAAACATCCATGGATATACCTAAAGCAATTCATGAAGCTTTGCCCTCAGGAGCATTTGTGGGCTCCTGGATGAGATTTGCTGATTTTGAGGACATGCCTCACTCACAGTGCCTTCTTCCTCACTTCTCTGGAGAGGTAGCATCAAAGGCAATGAGACATGGGTCCCTGCTGGTTGGCAAGTGGGTTGTGAGAAGAGTGCTGTAAATGTCCTAACCCGACCGGGTAGATTGGATTTCAGAGTAAGATATTCCTTCCATCCCCCCTCCCTTTCTCCTTCCTTCTTTTCCTTTCTCCTTCCCCCATCCTCCTTCCCTCCCCCCTCTTCTTTATTTTCCACATATTTACTCAGCACCTCCTCTGTTTCTGACACTGTGGCTCAGGGCCACAGTGGGTTGTGAAGTAGTTCTTCTTTACTACCCGTTTGGTCTTCCGCGGTTTCGATTCTGCCGCTAACCCCGTGGTAAAGCAGGTCAGCCTCCTTCTGACGTCACAATGCCTGCGACATTCCCCTCACGTCACCTCATCATGTAGACGTTTTATAATCTCACAGCATTACAAGAAGGGTAAATGCGGCACAGTTAAGATATTTTGAGAGTGAGAGACCATATTCCCTTAACTTTTGTTAGAGTATATTTTTGTAAGTGTTCTGTTTTATTATTAGTTTTTGTGGTTACCCTATTACTGTGCCTCATTTATAAATTAAACTTCATCATAGGTATGTAAGTAGGGAAAAATCATTATGTATAGGAAAAGAACAGTAAATATAGGGTTCGGGTACTATTTGCGGTTTCAGGTATCCCCTGGGGGTCTTGGAAGGTATCCCTCGGTGGATAAACCGGGACTGTTGTAGCGGACAGATGCTCTAGTAGGTGAAGGTGAATATTAAAACAAGTAATTACAATAAAGTGGGATTATCATTATGATAAGGGAGGGAGAAGTACTGTTTTTCATTTGGCCAGAACATTTGTGTTTTCCACTCTGATGGCATTCTTCACATTGTGTCTGAAGCTTTGGTCTCCCTTTCTTGGTAGTGCTCCCCTAGAAGGTCTCATTTAGCATGGTATCCCCACACCCAGTCCAAAGCCTGACATTTGAAACCTAATAAGAATTTTTTGAATGAATAAACGCTCTATGAATATTGTTGAACAAATGTTTTATTCAGCTTTTTAAATCCATAGTCCTGAACATATGGTTGGCACATAAAAAATATTAGTCAATGAAATGAGAGTCATCTATTTTTTTATAATGTGGTTTTTAAAATCTCTACACCCAACGTGGTGCTTGAACTCATGACCCTGAGATCAAGAGTCACATGTTCTACTGACTCAGCCAGCCAGGCAGCCCCTAGTCATTGAAATGAATGAATAGTCATGGTATTGTGAACAGCAGTTGTTGTGGAGGAAAAATACTGACTCAGGATGGAGCGGAGTTGGGGATTAAGACCTACTTCTGCCATGTACTAAACTGTAGTTACTGGAGCCAAATACAACCTCTCTCGGGTTCTGATTCCTCATTTGTAAGGTGAATGTAACTGCCTGTCCTGCCTCCTTCACAGATTGGTCATCAGAGTCAAACTGCTTAATGTAGTTGAAGTGCTGTGAAGCACTGTATACATCTCACCATTTAGCACCTGCTTGCTGCAAGAAAGGAAGGGACTTTCAGTACAAATAAGAGACCAGCATCACTTTTCTTTGAGAAGCTCTTGGAAGGTACAGTGCTTTCCATCTTAAACACCATTCTCCTTGCTATGTTTTTTACTGTCACAAATCCTTTCTCAACCTCCTTCTTCCCTAAATATCAAAAGAAACAACATCATTCTTTTATACTTTTTCCCTTGGCATTTTATATTGAAATGTGTCAAACTTACAGAAAAGATGAAAAAACATTGTAGTGAACACCTTATACCTTTTATCTAGATCACCAGTTAATTTTTTAAAAGATTTAAAAAAAATTATTTCAGAGAGAGAGAGAGAGAACGAGTGGGGTGAGGGGCAGAGGGAGAAGCAGGTGATGCCGGGCTCAATACCAGGACCCGGGGACCCTAGTTCTTGTGGCACTAAATCTAAAGGATCACAGGTCTTGTTGATTTGGAAAGGTGGTAAGTCAAATGGGCCATGATCTTGACAGTATGTGTATTAATTATCTCCTTCATTCATCCATTCCTCTATTAACTCATTCATTCATTCAGTTAATATTAAATGAGCACCTAATATTTAAATCAAGCTCTGTGTAAGCCTCTAGGGTTAGCAGTGATGAAAAAAATGAGGTCTCATGTCCCAGTCCTCATGGAGCTTATAGTGTTAATAAGGGACATAGAATTGTCACATAATAGGAACAAAGCTGAAAGTATGACTGTGGCAAATAAGAAAGCTGGGGAATTTAAACCTCAGTATTTCTTCAAAATTTAGAGGCAATCATTATATAATGCATGATTGATTATTCTTTATACCACTAAGAAAAAAATGATCCACAATGGAAACCCTAAAAGGGAATGTCACATTTAGCTGGGGTACCAAAGGGCTGTCCTGCTCAATAAAAGGGTAAATGAGGAAAATATGATCTCACAGTAAGGGGCAGCAGGGCAACTTGCTGGTCTCAATCTTGGCACTGGGTGGTAGGAGGAAAATAAGACTCCCCTAAGAATCCCAATGCCAAGTCAGTACTAAAGCGTTTTCAATCCGAATTCACATTGATACTGTGTCCAAAAAACTCAAGCAGATAATTTAAAGGGATTTCAGGTTAGTAGTTCCTTGAGATGACTGGTAGAAACAAATGCAAATCTTGCTGGAAGAATTTGACTTTAATCTGGGCCAGCAGTGACTGGGAGGCTCCATTTACTTATAGGACATACTCTCATGCTTAAGGGGAACGAAACATGCATCACTGACTTGATGAAACATTGTAATCAGGGTGGTGTGGGTGGCTTTCCTGATACACTGATGCATGGACTGACATTGAGATCTGACGGACAAAAAAGCTTTACCTTCGGGAAGAGGGTGGGAAGAACATTCTAGTTGGAGGCATGAGCACATACAAAGGGCCTTCAGAGGGGGGAGATACAGAGAATACAGGGAACTGGAGAGGTCTGGGATGCTGGAGCAGTAAAGCAGGGAGTGTGGTGGTGCGCAAGGCTAGAGGGCAGGGCTCAGGTGAGGCTGTGCAGGCCTATTTAGGCCACATGAAGGACTTTTGTCCAGATCTTAAGAGAGATGGGAGCTGAAAAGGTTTTTGGAAGGAGAGATTGAGAGGATCACATATGAGTTTAGAAACAATGGTTTTGGCTGCATAAGGAAAATATATTGAGGGTGGATAGAAGCCTAGTGAGTAGTGCTCATACTCTAACCTTGAGACATGACTCTTTACTTTGCAGAAAAGATAACTCAGAAAGACTGAGGCCCACTTTGGACTTTACTGTGTGAAAGAGAATAATCTCAGACATGGCAAGTTTAGAGAGTATCACCATGCCAGGTGGTCTGCCGCTGATGAGGGGTATCCTGGGGAAGGACGTGGGTAGAGTATAAAGGTGGTGGTTTGGCTTTCTTATAATATATCTTATAAAATATTACTTGCCTTTTTTTTTTTTTGGTCCCTAAGTGAGCTGCCCAGAAGCCACACGGTTAAAGAGATTTTCACAGTGCGGATGATAATGTTTTTCTTAAATCCCATCTGTCTTATTTTTTAATAAAAATCTGCTATAGTTCAATAACTAGGGCTTGTTCTACACTAAGAAACGCAGGGTGTGGTCTGTGTTTGAATTTGCTGTAGTTTGCCTTTTTGCAGATGCCCTGTCCCTGGCTTTTTGTGAAGAGTATTTTATCTTTAAGCTCTAAGTACAGTGTTAGAGGGACGCCTGGGTGGCTCAACTGGTTAAGCATCTGCCTTCGGCTCAGGTCATGATCCCAGGGGACTGGGATCAAGTCCCGTGTCAGGCTCCCTGCTCCGCAGGGAACCTGCTTCTCCTCTGCCTCTGCCTCTCTCTCTGTCGCTCTGTCTTTCATGAATAAATAAATAAAATCTTTCAAAAAAATATAGTGTTAGAAAAGAGTGACTTCAAACACCTAAAAGATTTAAATGTGCTCTTTTGTTTTGAAGATTTGCATTATAAATAAGCATACAATTATATAAACATGTATTAACGGGATCACGTAGTACATAGTGGGGTTTTACTTAGTGAAATTATTTTTTCCCCATTTTCTTTTTAACTTGCTTCCCTCCATTGCCTAGCCTTCTCAGACCATGACTCTGTGTCACTCCTCACCGGTAACCCATTAAATTTATTTATTTATTTATTTATTTATTTATTTATTTATTTGACAGAGAGAGACACAGCGAGAGAGGGAACACAAGCAGGGGGAGTGGGAGAGGGAGAAGCAGGCTTCCCGCGGAGCAGTGAGCCTGATGTGGGGCTCGATCCCAGGACCCTGGGATCATGACCTGAGCCGAAGGCAGATGCTTAACGACTGAGCCACCCAGGCACCCCAAATTTATTTTTGTTTTTAAATAAAACTTATATTGTGCTAATATGAGCTGGGCATGTTCTAAGCACTTGACACATGTTAGATATCTGGTAAACCCCATGGATTTTTCTCACAGTAATTTTTAAAATGCATAACATAAAATATATAGGATTATAAAGTAAATCAATTGTATTAAAATCACATTGTCAAATCTTAAAAATATTACTGGGGCACCTGAGTGGCTCAGTCGGTTAAATGTCTGCCTTCACCTCAGCTTCTCCCTCTCCCTCTGTCTCCCAGCTTGTGCTCTCACTCTCTGTCAAATAAATAAAAAAGAATAAAAAAAATCTCAAAAATATCACAATACATATAATACTTAACACATTAAATAGACATAGTGTTAGGTCATTTAACTGTCATAGTTCAAAGTAATGATGAGTATGAATGATATTTTGAGATATTTGTAAGATATTTCATGTGACATGAAAATATCTGTAACACAACCATAGGTACTGCAAATAATATTGAGGTTTGTTGCCTACATTTATAATGGAACAAAGTGCTAAACTTTAGTTTGATGTGAAAATAAAGGTGTAATGTTTTTTTGTATCAAGTTTGTGCACCAACCCCCAGGTTAAGATAATACCTTTTGGTTGAGGAATTCCATTTCTGCTAAATGAACAAAGTATCTTGTATTCTGTATGTTCAAAGCTCATTAGAATATAGTTCAGTATTTAGGGAAATCAAGGTTTATGTTTACCATACTGGTACAAATAGGAATTGCAAAAGATATAGGGAGCATGTATACTCCTACAAAGAACGCCCTATAATGGGACAGAGTGGGGCCTCCACATCATGCTAACTTGACTCTGGGCAGCAAGATTGGTTTAAAATAATATGAAATACAGGGCACCTGGCTGGCTTAGTTGGTAGAACATGAGACTCTTGATCTTGGGGTCGTGAAGTTGAGCCCCATTTTGGAGGTAGAGTTTACTTAAAAAAAGAATAGATTTGACAAAATAATATGAAATAAAGGAAGAAAAAACCCTGAAAAAATATTGGTAGAATTAATTTCAAGTACAAAAGATAAAAAGATAAATTGAATTCTCATAGATTGCAAATATTTTTCGTATACTTTGAGAAATCTGAAGATGTCAGTACCTTTATATCACACATTTAAAAAAAAATGCCACTCTGGGGTTGAGAGTTCAACTGCAAGTTTCAAAGATGCCACCCAAGGGAAAGAGCACTTCCAGGATTAACAGTTCTGACAAGAAGACTCAAGGCCCCAAAGGTGGTGGCAACGGAGTAAAGGTCAGACACATTTTTTTTTAAAGACTTTATTTATTTATTTGTCAGAGAGAGAGAGCACAGGCTGGAGGCACAGCAGGCAGGGGGAGAAGCAGGCTCCCCACTGAGCAAGGATCCTGATGCAGGACTTGATCCCAGGACCCTGGGATCATGACCTGAGGTGAAGGCAGACACTTAACCGACTGAGCCACCCAAGCATCCCGGTCAGACACATTCTGTGGGAAAAACATGTGAAAATCATGGAAGCCATGGAAAAGTTAAAGTCTGCAATGAGATTCAATGAAGTGGCTGTACAATATAGTGAAGATAAAGCCAGGCAAGGGGGACACTTGGGTTGGATGACCGGAGGTTCCATGGTGGGACAATTTCAAGAAGCAACATTTGCCTTGCCTGTGAGTGGGCTGGATAAGACTGTGTTTACAGAACCTCTGATTAAGATAAAATTTGGATATCATATTATTATGGTTAAAGGGAGAAAATAAAATTGTATGAAAGACTGAAAAAGAAATGCCACTCTGGGAGGCTCAGATTCCAACCTTGATGAAGGAGGCAGTTTTGTTCTGTCAGACAAAAAGCTGATGATAGTGGGGAGGAGAGCAATGATATCTTCTGGGTAGTGCAACCCAATATCATTTCCATATGAGGGAATGAGCCCTTCACTTCCTTTGATTGTATTGTAAAGAAAACTTGGCATCAAATCACCCACTTGATGTTTTAGACATAGATCCTTTTGCTTAGTCCCTGGAGAAGCCCTACAACTCTGCTCTAAGAAATGGCTTTCAAACTTTTGTGATTATGGTGCCCAATAAAAAACACATTTTATATTGCGAGCCAGTACACATACACTCCCATAAATGATGCAGACTTCATGAAACAACACTGAACTTTGCCATGTGGAATGAGCTGATATTTTCTGTTTCAGTTCATTTTATTCCATTACTTTTTTCTATTTATGCCAGGTACTTCATACAGTTAAAGTTCCTACTTGGTTCCAAAAGGCATTTAAGATCACAGCCCCTGTGAAACATACGGGCATTTAAGGGGCTATTTGCCAGATGAATTTTTTCCCAGAGACCTTTTTGGAGGAGTGATTTTCATATCAAGGGTTGGGATATTAATAAAAATTAAAAGTAGAAAAATACATATATATGTATAAGTGTATTTTGTACATATTATGTATTACATGTGTATGTGTGCACACATACAAACACACTCATACATACACTTTTTTCTGTTGATTTTAGTCAAGAATTGAAGGCCACTATCCGTGACTATAATTACTGAGCTTCTTCAGTGAATTAGAAGTAAAAATAATAAAACGTGGCTCCAGTCTTTTCCTTGTATGTCTGGGGGCTGACATTTTGGCCTATACCCTCAAAACCTGTCAGGACCTATACTCCTTCAGGCATCCCTTTTGTTTGCAACATCACCAACCTCTCCACCTTTCTTAGGAAGCCTCCTCACCTGTGCCACGTGATCCTATGTAACTGCTGCCCATGTGATTGTGGCCACATTCCTTGACAGCTCTTCCATGGAAGCCACAGCAGTACTGGTAGCCTTGGAAAGCTAACTTCTGGCAAGACTGTGCTTGGTTGATAATAGCACAGCAAGGGCAACATGAAGGGAAGCTGGTGGGTGGGTGCCTGGACCTTAGTTCTCAAAAACCCCAGTTCTGAGAGCACATTGGAGATCTCACTTGACCCTTCTTTTTTTTTTTTTTAAGGTTTATTTATTTATTTATTTGATGAGAAAAGATTCAGTGAGAGAGGGAACACAAACAGGGGGAGTGGGAGAGGGAGAAGTAGGCTTCCTGCTGAGCAGGGAGCCCAATGCGGGGCTCGATCCCAGGACCCTGACATCATGACCTGAGCCAAAGGCAGATGCTTAACGACTAAGCCACCCAGGCGCCCCTCACTTCACCCTTCTTGCTGTTAACTTTTTTTGTGACTAATTCTCTCTCTTCCTTCTTGGATAGGAAATGTTCTGTTACGGAAACTGGACTAAGTACCAAAAGATTGTCACAAAATTGTTGTTTTACTATCTTCTTTTTTATTGTATCAGGTGACTCACCGAAGAGACTATTCAGTAAATATGGCATCCCCCCACATTAGGGAATGGAGAAAGGGGGAGCATCAGGGACTGGCAGGCAGATGGGACATTTTGGGGTCTGAGAAGGATGGGTTTTCAAGTTTGTGGGTTAGGAACACTTTTCTGTAATGTGTTACTCTTGACAGTCTGGTCTCTAGCTGAATAGCATCATTTGGCTTCTATCTCTCTGTCTAAAAATATATTCATGCTTACTCAATATTTAGGCAGATTTTTAAAATGCCCACTTCATCTTTCCTTCATTCCTTTATTTTACCCAGTCTATCAGAATCTCCTTCTAGATTTTATTTATTTATTTATTTACTTGAGAGAGAGAGAGAGAGAGAGAGAGAGAGACAGAGCATGAGCGGGGGAAAGGGCAGAGGGAGAGGGACAAGCAGACTCTGTGCTAAGCACAGCGCTCGAGTTGGGGCTTGACTTGGGGCTCAATCCTACGATTCTGAGATCATGACCTGAGCTAAAATCAAGAGTCAGAAGCTAACTGACTGAGCCACCCAGGTGCCCCCTTGGTAGACCTTCTTAAAAGAGACTCTACATTGCTCCTTTCTCATGGCCCATGCTCTTGTAAGCATGCTTCTTAGACAATTACTCTAATAAATGAAACTATTTT